ATCAAATTAGTGGTTGTGTGTAAAATATCACAAATGGCTCTCCACAAAAACGTCTTCCACTTGGGAGGGACTTTTAATTTCCACATTAAAACCCACTTATCAAACACAGGTGGATTATTCTATTAGTCTCCAACAATACGCCTATAGGCATTCTTCACAGAGCCATCCAAAAAATAATTTAAAATAAGGTATAAGCTCCTAAAAAATAAACTCTGCCAAACAGAGCTTTAAGTAGATTATTTTTTAAACCCATAGTAGCCAACATAGGAGGGGAAAATAGTGTTATTCAACTATTTTTATGATATCTTCTATATAATTAACTCGTCGAGATAAACCACTTTATAAGTAATCAATAAATATATAATAAAGAAATTTTAAGGTCTATTTGGCACAAGGTTGGTTTACCTCCTCGTTGTGAGTAATAATGTATTTATTATTATTATTGTTATTCGTCTAGCTCTAATATTCTATGGTTAGGAATTAGTCTCCAACTATAGGTGTAGTTAGGAGTTCTAATTTCCTTGTGTCTGTGTAACGTTTTGGTTGAATCAATAACGATAATCTCATTTGGTATCAGACTGAGTTTTCTCTCTCTCTCTCTCCCAAATATGTCAAATTTTATGTCGACAAATTCGAGTGAAAGAACCGTAACTGCCGCTATCCCCACTGGAACGCCGGCGACTCCGACGTCTCTAACATCAGCGCATCATTTTGTATCGCTGAAACTGACGACGAGGAACTTCCTCTTCTGGAGGACACAACTGATTCCTTTTCTCCATGGCCAAGGGTTGCTTGGCTACGTCGACGGCGATCTTCCATGTCCGCCGGCAGTGCTGCCCACCGAGACCACCGGCGATGACGCGTCTGGCGCAACGGTCGCCACCACCACCCAGAATCCGGCCTACTCATTCTGGGTGTAGCAAGATCAGGCGATACTATCCCTCCTCATATCGTCTCTTTCCGACGAGGTTATGTACCTCGCGGTCGGCCGCAACACGTCCCGAGAGGTGTGGCTTTCCGTCACGGCAGCGTTAGGGTCATCCACAAGAGCTCGCTGCCTGAACTTCCTCGCCCAGTTCCAGAGCTTGCGCCAAGGTGACAGTTCGCCAGCCGAATACCTGGGCGGGCTCAATTAATTGTCGAGGATCACAAGAAAAATTTCATCTAGAGTGCAATTTTGAATAATGACTGCGCGCTTTCCCTTTATTCAGCTCATCTTGAAAAACTCATCCAATCCACTACTCTTGTCTATGGATGTTATTACACTTTTAATTTATGGGAAAACTCACAATTGCTACCCATCCAAAAGTGCCACTAGGTGAAGCTCGCCATGTGACTCTAGTCGGCAAAGGATCACAAGAAGCTAAACTAACATAAATTGTCCATAGTTGATCACCTCAAACCAAGAAAGTTCTCACACATGGAGTATAATTGAACTTGGAACCTTGTGGTTACCAAGCCAATTGCCTGACTAACTTGACTAGAATTGTCTCTAGGTGTAACCCCAAAGTTGGTTGTCAAACAATACACACAATGAATAGTTGTATCCATCATGTATCGCTAGGCGTCCGTCTTTTTAAAAAAAAAATTAAAAGATTTTTTAAAAACAATTATTTAAGAATTATGTGTGTGTGTGGAGATCAAATGCGATAATAAGCTTTAGGTAAAAGATGTGGTTTAATCTCAGCCTTTGATCTAATCAAAATCAACAGCCCAAATTGAAGAAAATTTTATAATAAAAAATGCGATGGCAATTTGGTCTTTTCGCAAATTGGTCAAACTTAAGGTGCATTGTTCTCCTTCTTAAGGTGCATTATTTTTCTTTCTTAAGGTGTGCAGTTTCTGTGCTTAAGGTGTTGCGTCAATGTTTCGGTTGAGAACTTAAGTTGTGTTTCTTTGTTGAAACTAAAGGTGCGTTGGTCGAAAGATTTAGGTACATGGTTTTTCTTCTTAGGTGCATAGTTTTTATGCTTAAGGTACCTCAGTTCTTAAATTAAGAATTTAAGGTACGTTTTTTTGTTGAAACTTAAAGTGCATATGTCTAAAGCCTTAAGTGCATGGTTTTCCTTATTAAGGTGCGTCTTTGTGTGCGCTATTTTTATAAACTGAAGGTGCGTGATGCTAAGACTTAAGGTTCGTCATTTTAACACTTAAGGTACGTTGTTCCAACACTTAAGTTGCGTTTTCCTAACACTTAATGTGCAGCATTTTTAGCTTGTGCTTCTTCCTTCCAGATGTGTGTTGTTCTAACCTCCTTCGCACCTAATCTCAACTATATATATATATATATATATATATATATATATATATATATATATATATATATATATATATATATAGAGAGAGAGAGAGAGAGAGATTTGCGTTCTGGTGCGAATGGCGCGCCCAAGAGCGAAATGCGAATAATTCAGCGCGTGCCACGTGTCCAGATGTAGGTGCACCTATAGTTATAATTAGGTGCACTTGTAGGTGAAAGTAGGTGCACCCGATCAATGAATGTTAACAAGGCAAAATTACATTCACTTGTAGGTGAAAGTAGGTGCACCCGATCAATGAATGTTAACAAGGCAAAATTACATGCACTTGTAGGTGAAAATAGTGTACTTGTAAGTGCAAGTAAAATGTATTACAAGTGCATGTAAAATGTATTATAGGTGCAAGTAAAATTTACATTGAGCATTAATACTAAGTGCACCTGACGTTATAACTAGGTGCATCTATAGTTATAAGTAGTTGCACCTAGGTGCACAAATGTTAACAAGGTAAAATTACTTGCACTTATAGGTGAAACTAGGTGCACTAGTAAGTGAATTTACCTGCACTTTTTACTTAAAAAGGTACACCGACTACTTGCATTTATAACACATTTACATGTACCAAATTTTGAGTTATTTACGAAAAAGTCACTGCGTTTTTTTAAAATTACATCTGATTCGTTGATCTGGACACGTGGATGGACGGCATGCATTCGTACTTCTCTCTAGGGAGCCTATTCGCACAGGAGTGCGCCCATATATATATATGTGTGTGTGTGTGCGTGTGTGTATATATATATATATATATATATATATATATATATATATATATATATATATATATATATATATAAGAGAACACCTTTTTCATGGGAACGAAAGGACAAATCGTAGTCATTGAAATTATAGATTTGGATGGATGAGATAATTTCGGTAATATTAATATTAATTAATAGGAAAGTAATTAATAAGGGCAAACACATAGTAATTAAAATAAGGGAAATTATTTAATTAGGATGTTATGCATGATTTTAGGAATGTATTTATGGTAGAGTAGGATTCTCTACATCCATTTATTTTGATAAGGATGAATATTTTTAAATTTTAAAATATTTAAATATATTTTGGATAATATTGATATTATCTAATTTGTTTAATTAGATAATACAAAAAGAGTTTAAACTTATAAAAACCCTTATAAAATCTCCATGCCAATGTCCTACCCAAAATAAGTGCCTACAATCCAACAAGGGGATTAGTTATTGTGTCCCATAGTGAAAACCCTAGGTATATAAAAAAAAAAAAAAAAATCTTAGCTAACAATAAATAGGAACTTTCATTCATCCTAGAATCATCGGATCATCCTGTAAACATCGCGAAAATAAAATATTTCTAAACCCCCTCCATATAGGATCGTGCAAGCATATTGATCCAACCCTCGATTGAATGCCTTTCAACGAAGATCAAACTATACATATAAACTCTTCTTTGAAGATGACCATCTCATCTAGAGATCTTGTACTCGCACTTTATTGATACTCGTTGTAATCATAATATTGAATTTTAATATATATTTAATTTTTTGTGTTAACAAATTAAAAGAAATGTGACATATCTTTGCAAATGTGTAGAAAATATTTTCATGCATTTGCTTGAGATAAACGTGCATTATTTTAAGAAAAAAACCAACATTCTTTCAATCGAAACGTGTATCGTTCTAGTTTAAATATGCATGAATTGTTCATGATGATTAAATGGGCATCTTTTTAAAACGAGTTCTACTACATGTAGTCTCTAATCATACTTCTTGATGTGACGGATTTTGATAAGTTATTTTTTTCATGTGGGTCCCAATAGAAGTGTCTACATCAAGGTTTTGTGTTTGAAAGTACAAGTTGAGAGTACAAAATGGGAGTAGCATTTTCCTTTTAAAACAAGGAAGTCTAACACCATGGCAAGCTTGAGTGGTATGCAGATTCTGCAGAGTATGTTATCCTGCCAAGGTGAGTGTGTAAGCCATGCAATCATTCTGAAATTCCAAATTCAAATATTTGAACTCCAACTCAAATGCAGGCATGGTGGTTGAATTGGTGACGAATGGATGATGTTTAACTTCCATACATATTCTTCAATGATTTCAAACAATTCCCTCATTCCAATCCCTGCCCTTGTATTTACCAATCCCAATTTATTTTTGTTTGTTCCGCAACCACTGTATTACACTACGATCACCGCTTCGTGAACCGTACCTCTCACTGAAAAACAAAAATAACGGCAACAAGTCTACACAATAGAAATAATATCGAAGATAACGCTGCAAAGGTAATTTTGAAAGTGATTTTGATACCAAATGTTAAATATAAATAATGTACCTCTGTCATAGTTGATATCTTTTGTTTGTTTTGCATCTAGAATGATAAAATTGCATAGAGAAAGTTAGACATTTTAAAACACTTACTCATAAGAACTTTAGATGACATATTTTTGCATTTACTGAACTATTTTTTTCATGTGGATCCCGATACAAGTGTCTAAAATTTTGTGTGTGGGACTAAAATTATGGAGTATAGGACAAGAGTACACACAGTATTTTCCTACTATATATATCCCATCAATAGTATGCTAATACAAGAAAATGTTACATGTTGATGACAATATTGCCCTCTTTTTCAATTGAGAAGGGCGGTTCAAAAACAAGAAAATCGATCAAACTAACCAAACGATTGATCTGACTTCAATCATCGATCATCGAACCACCTTCTTGTAAGTATAAGACTTAGCAATCCAGATGTAAAAAAGGAAGTTAACAAAGCTGAGGATAGCCAAAAGGCAGTAGAAATAGTCGAGATGGCCGCGGTTCAAGTTATCCGTAATCCACCCAAGCTGCCCGTGGCGAGTCGTCACCTTAGTGACCACCATAACCAGGAGCGTACTAAGATAGTTTCCCAAGGCGTTGGTCATCAGAGCCAGGGCAGCGCATAAGCTTCTCATGCCGTCCGGCGCCTGATCGTAGAAGAACTCCAGCTGTCCGATGAATGTGAAGACCTCCGAGCACCCCACCAGAAAATACTGCGGGATTTGCCAGAAGATGGATATGGGGATCGTCTCCAGATCGTAGCCGTTGTGCTTCCTCACGTAGTCAAGCCGGAAAAGCTCGAGAACTCCGGCGGAGACCATGGCGAGTATGGAGATCGCTAGGCCGATCCCCATTCTCTGGAGGGTGGTGAATCCTCGTTCTTTTCCGGTGTAGTGTCGGGCGATGCGGATGATGATCTGGTCGTAGACGGGCGTCCAGAAGATGACGCTGATGGTGTCGAAAATGTTGAGCGACGCGGAGGGGATCTTGAAGTTCGGTCCGAGGTGCTGGTCCATGCGGTTGCCCTGCAGCACGAACATGGTGCTCGTTTGGCTGTACACGGCGGAGAAGACTATTCCGGTGGCCCATACGGGGATCATGCTAACGATGCATTTTAACTCCTCCACTTGTGTCACGGTGCACAAATTCCATGGAGTCACTCTTCCTCTCCCCCTTTCATGTTCGGTTTCAATTGCAGCCTTGTCAAAGAACCTGACTTCCAACAAATCATTAAAGGCCTCAAGAATTAGTTCCAAGACAACTATTCCAACTATATATATATATTCAAATGTGAACCAACATTCTCATGCAAATTTACGAACTTCTGAAGAATGCACCATAGGTTCTACATGAATGCACATCAACATGGTGCATTCATGTAATAATTTTACTGCATTCCTCCGTTCGCAGGTTCGCTTTGCATGGGAAGTCTAGTTCACACCTGGTCAGAACCCTATATTTGCTAAACTCTATCTTGTGACCCTAGTCAATAAAAGAGCACAAGAAGGTAAAAGTTGCTTAGGCTATTCATATATGGTACACCAGTTCAAACCACCCAATAGGTAGCTCTGGTAGAAAGTCAAACTTGTAATATTGTAGTTATCAAATCAACGGTCTTGGCGAGTTGCCCCCGAGTATAATTTTGTTTGAGTGACAAGTAAACAAACCTTGTGACCCTAGTCAACAAAAGGTCAAGGGGACATAAACCAACCTAAGTTTTCCATATGTGAATAGCTCGATTAAACTAAGAAGGTCAATATGCGCGGCTAGAAGTTAGCTTGTAATTTTGTGGTTACTTACCTAAACTTATAGGTGTACTCGAGTTTGCGACTCCCCCTGATGTTGGATTCTACATCGGTAGTCTCATAAAGAAGAGACTTATCAGCAGGGGCTCTTATGCGGGCTTTCGCAATAGATGCAACCAAAACCTGCAATATTCGAGTGAGGGGACTTCCTCCGGGTTTTTGGAACCTATAAAGGCGAGTACCTGCGTAGAAGCACAACACTGCAATTGCCATGGTGACCGCGGGAACGCCAAACCCCCATTCCCATCCCACATGGGTTTGAAGCCACACAAGAACCGAGGAAGCAAACAGAGCACCCAAATTGATTGACAGGTAAAAGTAGTTGAAGAAGGAACTCTTGGTTTCCTTTTCCTTTGGGTCGTTGTCATCAAATTGGTCAGCCCCGAAGGAGGAGACGCAGGGTTTGATCCCACCAGTTCCAAAAGCAATTAGGTAGAGCGCAACAAAGCTTACTGCAGATTGCATCGATGTCGGGTAGCAAGCCTCTGTATCACACGTTGGTTTTAGCCCCTTGATGGAAGCAGACATAGTTAACAAAGCCGTTCCCTATATATATATATATTTAGCACCAAAATTAGCCCACATATACTTGACAAACAATGAAACTAAACTAAATCGTTGGTCAAGCCATCCATTGGCTTAATGACCACATTGTTCCAAGCTAATATAAATTCAACTCCTAATGCGAGGCCAGGGGCCTTGGTTTGAGTTGATCCCTAGCATGAGGCCTTCTTGATTTGTGCCGGTCCCCAACCTATTGGCCAAAAGGCTTCTCTACAGGGGCAACCTATTGGCCAAAAGGCTTGGTTCCCCACAGGAGCAACCTATTAGCTAGCCAATAGGCTCATTCCCTGCCAGAGCAATTTATTGGTCTTTTTAGTTTGAGATGGCCTAGTTCCAGGAGTAACCTATTGGCCAATAGGCTTGGTTTCCCTACAGGAATAACCTATTGGCCAACAGGCTTGGTTTCCCTACAGGAATGACCTATTGACCAACAGGCTTGGTTTCCCTACAGGAGCGACCTATTGGCCAATAGGCTTGGTTTCCCTACAGGAGCGACGTATTAGCCAACAGGCTTGGTTTCCCTACAGGAGCGACGTATTGGCCAACAGGCTTGGTTTCCCTACAGGAGCGACGTATTGGCCAACAGGCTTGGTTTCCCTACACGAGCGACGTATTGGCCAACAGGCTTGGTTTCCCCTACACGAGCGACGTATTGGCCAACAGGCTTGGTTTCCCTACACGAGCGACGTATTGGCCAACAGGCTTGGTTTCCCTACTGGAGCGACGTATTGGCCAACAGGCTTGGTTTCCCTACTGGAGCGACGTATTGGCCAACAGGCTTGGTTTCCCTACTGGAGCGACGAATTGGCCAACAGGCTTGGTTTCCCTACAGGAGCGACGAATTGGCCAACATGGCTTGGTTTCTCTACTGGAGTGACGGATTGGCCAACAGGCTTGGTTTTCCTACTGGAGCGACAGATTGGCCTACATGGCTTGGTTTCTCTACTGGAGCGACCTATTGGCCAACATGCTTGGTTTCCCACCGAAGCGACCTATTGGCCAATAGGTTTGGTTTCCCACCGGAGCGACCTATTGGCCAATAGGCTTGGTTTCCCACAGGAGCGACCTAGCTTGGCCAATAGGCTTGGTTTCCCACAGGAGCGACCTAGTTTGGCCAATAGGCTTGGTTTCCCACCGAGCAACCCATTGGCCAATAGGCTTGGTTTCCCACCGGAGCAACCTATTGGCCAATAGGCTTGGTTTCCCACCGGAGCAACCTATTGGCCAATAGGCTTAGTTTCCCACCGGAGCAACCTATTGGCCAATAGGCTTGGTTTCCCACCGGAGCAACCTATTGGCCAATAGGCTTGGTTTCCCACCGGAGCAACCTATTGGCCTTACGGGCCCATTACCAGAGTAACTTTTTTTAGTTTTTTAGTTTCAACTAGCTTGGTTCCCCTACGGAGATTGGCCAATAGGCTCAGTTTCCTACCAGAGCAACCTATTGGCCTTACGGCCCATTCCCTGTCTGGCCTTACGGACCCATTACGGACCCATTCCCTGGAAGAGTTTATTTGGTCTTTTTAGTTTTCCTTAAGGAGGGGCCTATTAGCCTTACAAGCCCTACAAGAATACTTTATTGGTCTTTTTAGTTTGAGATGGCCTTGGAGTGAGCAACCTATTGGCCTTACGGGCCCATTCCCTGCATAAGAGTAATTTATTGGTCTTTGGTCTTTTTAGTTTGAGCTAGTCCTCCTTGGGAAGAACAGAACTTATGGTTTGGGTCGGTCAGAGTAACCTTGGTTGATTTGTCTTTAATTTGCAAGTGAGGTTTGCTAATGCATACCCTAAGGTCATGGCGACGGTTTCCTTCATAAGGAAAACTAAACAATATGATGAATTGCTTACGAGGACATAAATGGTAGAAAAACATGCAATGGTTCGATATCTTCCGAGGTAGGAATCAGCGAGGAAGGCACCCAGCAAAGGTGTGGCGTAGCAGGTTCCTTGCCAATTCGTGACAGTCTTTGATGCCGTGACATTATTTTGGTCGAGCTGTTGACGAAGATAGTTCACTAAATTAGTGCTCAAACCGTAGTACGCCAACCTCTCACATCCCTCCGTGCCTGCATGCATGCCCAATTCGTGAGAAATATGAATTTATATGTCAAACCCACACATTATTATAAGGCCGGGGATATGATGATGATGATAAAAGAAGGAATTGAAGATTCATCGTACCAAGAATAAACGGGCAGGCACTCCATGTTCCAGTTTTAGTTTTATTAGCAGGCTTGTTACGTATATCCACTGTTCCATCCTTGGTCGTGTGATCATTGTCTTCTTCCATGATTTCCATCGATATATCCCAGGTAAAATCTCAACAGAAAGTTGTAAATAAACAACAGATCTCTGGATACCTACAGACGCTAAAAACGCATCAACAATACCATCATGGTTGAAAATAAGATGAACATAAAATGGGGTAAAAATAATAAAAAGCATATATGCATATATGCAGATATTTACCATGAGAAAGTTGTGAGAATTCATGGTCAAGAGAAAGAGTGAGAGTTACGTTGTTGAAGATAAGTAAAGCTTATTGTTAGGAAAAGATTACCGTCAAAGAGTGTTCGTGTATGATCGAGTTAGGGATTTTGGGAAAGTTGAAGATAATAAAGATATGGGAACAAAAGTAGGGGATGCAGATACCAGATGAATTGCCGCTCCTATTCAACTGGCTTGGAAGTAGGGAGTGCAATGATATTCAACGGCGACTCTATTCTTGGTGTTGACGTGGTCACGTATTTTCAGATGCATATATCATATCATTAATTAACAATTATATATATATATATATATATCTACTATACTATACTAATAAGAGCCCAAGAGAGTTAGGCCTATAATGGGTAGAAAAAATGGCGGTCACAGATTTTAATCAAATGAATGGCTCAGATTGATTAAGAGATTGATAAGATTTAAATTTTACACTAAAATTTCCTAAAATACCCCCACACCGTTACTAATTCCGTTAAAATTTTAAGAATTGCCGTTAGTTCACCGTTAGCTTACTCATTGATTTCAATAAAAAAAAAAGGTCTTAGGTTCGAACCTCATCCCAATCAAAGTTGGCATAATTAGTACTTTATTTTACTCTTATTAAATTATATAAATAATAATTTAGTAGCTACAACAAAAAATTATAGATATGCATTTCTTTAATTTAGAATTATGTGTCCACAATGCCAAAAAATTATTCATTATCAATAATCAATAAATTAAATAAGAGAAATAATTGTATTAGTTATATTGTCTTTATTTTTCTACAGTATAAAAATTCTTTATATTCAAATTTATTAATTGATTATATTGGCTACATTGTCCTTACAATGTCTTAATTCAGTGAAAAAAAAATTATTCATTATCAATAAATTAATTAAGAGAAATATTTTCATTAGTTATATTGTCTTTATTTTTCTCAAATGTAAAAATTTTTACATTCAAATTCATCAATTGATTATATTCACTACATTGTCTATTATCTTTTTTGTGCACTATTTTTCTAATTAAATATCAAAGTTATAATACAAAATAATGCTATATATTTATTTACCAAGTATTTTATTAATACCATGAAAAAATTAAAAAAAATATATAATTAATAAAGCCAACCATATTAACTACTTGAGAGATTTTGTGACAAAGAGAGTATTCAAATCACACAACAAATTGAAGTAAGAACTACCTTGCAATGTCCTTGTTTGACAATCAGCATTTAGCGGATTATATTAGCGGATTTGACCAACGAATTTATTTAATTATTAACATTGCATGCCTTAAGTAGAGATCTCTTAATGTTAGCATAATGCTAACTATATTCTATGACTTCTTTATAAGTTAACTTTAAGTACTATCTCTAACAGCTAAGAGCTTGGAGTTAACACGTCTGTTACTCCCACTCATCAAAAATAGCCAAAAGATAGTCAAGTCACAGAAGCATTCCAATAACTTAGACAATAAACCAAAGGTCTAAGTCCATAAATTTGGAATCTTAATCATACACCATAACTTCCCAAATAACTTCAATGTTCACTTTAAATGAACTGAACATAATAAGTCTTACTTATATGCCCCACAAAATTGTTTTGAGCCTTACAACCGAAATGACCCAGGATCAATTTTGAAGAAACTAAAGATTCTATTAATCACTGAAGAATTTATTAAATGACAGTGCACCACAGGTTAAATGCTTTTGTTCTAATAAATTCCTTAATATTGTTGCAACATTTTCATAAATATGTTGCACAACCAAATGTTCAATAATTTGAACTTATGAATTTATATGAACAAATACAAGATTAATACTTGTGGAATATTTTGGACTTATTGTTTGACATACAATCAAATTTAGGATGTATGAAGTCAATTAAATCCATAAATTTTAGTGGAGTATCTTAATGATCTTTTTCTAAATGATCACTCCCACTGATTAAAACATTCTTCAGCGAAATTAATAAAATGAACTTAATAACATACATACTCATAATTGATTTATTGACCAACTAACAAATGAAGACATAATTCCCCACCATTAGTTGGACATACTAAATAATCAATTTTTTGTTCCAATTAAAGTCCAACTAACTAATGAAGATATATTTCCCCACCATAGTTGGACATACTAAAAAAAAACAAAATACATCTTTCAAAACCAAGTTAGAATTTGGCTCAAAAGATACTCGGTTTTTCGGACTAACTGTAGTAAGTTACGTGATTGGTAGAAAAAATGACCACCAAATTATTAAATCAAATGAATGGTTCAAATTGTTCAGGTTTTAATTTTTTTTTAAAGTTTTTCTAATTTATCCTTAATTATATGATTATCCATTTAACTTTTCCGTTAAATACCGTTAATTCACCGTTAGTCTAATTCTAATATTAACGTCTAATATAGAATTATAATTACACCATTAATCTAATTCTAATATTAAAGTCTTAATAGAACTTAACCACAAATCCTAATGTCGAAATCTCCTCAAACAATATTATTATATATTTAATATTTTATGCCCTAATTTTTATTTGTTCTCCTTTATGTCCCATATCTGGTTTCAACCATACCTATACAGTTATTTTATTGACAATTATAATAAATCTTGACTATATTATCTTGCATTTGTAAACTTAGAATTACCTATTTAACCCACACGGGCTTAGCTCAATGGTTTAGTGGGCAGTATTTGGAAGAAGAGACCAAGGTTTGAACCTCGGCAGCGGCAGTGCGGGAATTATGTCTAAAGTGGGCAGATTCCTTGTTCGCACCGGCATTTGGTCCTGTCTGCTGAACCATTGAGTCACCGTGATTTACAACTTCCCACAATGCTCTGTCGGGTCGGAGTGTGGGGGGCCCTTGGGGTTGGGGACTCAACCTTTGGGAGAAGAATTACCTATTTAAATACGCAAATTCAACCTTCAATTATCTATGCATGAACAATTTCAATATAATCTTGCCTTAATATACTTTAAAGTACTTATTTAAAAAAAAAAAAAAAACATTGGGCATTATCCCAATCGCGCAATGCGCGTAAAAAACTAGTATACTAATAAGAGCCCAAGAGAGTTAGGCCTATAATGGGTAGAAAAAATGGCGGTCAAATTTTTTAATCAAATGAATGGCTCAGATTGATCAGATTTTAATTTTTCCTTAAGATTTACTAATTTATCCTTAATGAATATGATTATCCGTTAACTTTTCCGTTAAATATTATCTTTTCTGTTAATTTCTGTTAGTTCACCGTTAACTTACCCATTGATTTCAATAAGAAAGGTCTTAGGTTCGAACACCATCCCAATCAAAGTTGGCATAATTAGTACTCTATTTTACTCCTATTAAATTAAATAATAATTTAGTAGCTACAACAAAAAATAATACATATGCATTTTTTTAATTTAGAATTATGTGTCTACAATGTCTTTATTGTAAAAAAATTATTCATTATCAATAAATTAAATAAGAGAAATAATTACATTAGTTATATTGTCTTTATTTTTCTCCAATATAAAAATTCTTTACATTCAAATTCATCAATTGATTATATTCGCTACATTGTCCCTACAATGTCTTTATTAAAAAAAAAAAAAAACTATTCATTATCAATAAATTAATTAAGAGAAATAATTTTATTAGTCATATTGTGTTTATTTTTCTCCAATATAAAAATTCTTTACATTTAAATTCATCAATTTGATTATATTCACTACATTGTCTATTATCTTTTTTTTTTTGCACTATTTTTTTAATTAAATATCAAAGTTATAATACAAAATAATGCTATATATTTGTTTACCAAGTATTTTATTAATACTATGAAAAAATTAAAAAAAATATAATTAATAAAGTCAATCATATCAACTACTTAAGGGATTTGTTGACAAAGAGAGTATTAAAATCACACAACAAATTGAAGTGAAAACTATCTCGCAATGTCCTTGTTTGACAATCAGTAGTTAGCGGTTAGTGTTAGCGGATTTGACCAGCGAATTATATCAACGGTTGGTAAAAAGATATTTGAAAAAATTAGCTGTTTAGATTAACATGTAAAATTACCTGAGGTATACATATATTTAATAATAATAATAATAATAATAATAATAATAATAATAATAATAATAATAATAATAATAATAATAATAATAATAGTAATAACAATAATAATTGTTTTAAAAATAAAAAATAAAAAAATATAATTAAGTCAATCACATTAACTATTTGGGGGATTTATTTACAAAAAGAGTATTCAAATCACACAACAAATTGAAGTGAGAAACTACCTCGCAATATTCTTGTTTGGCAATCAGCAGTTAGCTCTTCAATATTGGTATATATTTTATGCCCTAATTTTTATTTGCTATCCCTTATGTCCCGTATTTGGTTTCAACCATGCATATACAATTATTTGATTGACAATTATAATCAATCTTGACTATATTATCTTGCATTTGTAAACTTAGAATTACCTATTTAAATACGCGAATTCAACATTCAATTATCTATGCATGAACAATTCCAATATAATCTTGTCTTGATATACTTTAAAGTACTTTTTTTTTAAAAAAAAAAAACAAAAAAAAAAACATTGGGCATCATCCCAATCGCGCAATGCGCGTAAAAAATTAGTATATATATAATTGCACTCTGGTGCAAATGGAGCACCCAAGTGTGAATATGCGAATGTCTGATATCCGTCCACGTGTCCAGATCTAATGGATGAGAAACACTGATTTAAAAAAAAAAAAAAAAAAAAAAACGCGATAGCATTTTTGTAAATAATTGAACATCGAAGTGCAAGGAAAATGTAT